GTAATTTATTGCTGTGATCAAAGCTGAATTTTCAGCATCATTACGCCAGTATTCAGTGTCACATTATCCTTTAGAAATCATTCTAATATGTTGATTTGCTGCTCAATTATTATTAATAATTTCTAATCATTCTTGTAACTCTTAAAGTTCTTTATTTTTTTAATCATTTATAAAGGTTAGTAACGCTGCGTGTTTCTAAGCATTTCAGGGGACCTTTAACTTGTTTGCTTAATACATCTAAAATCAGATGATTTACGTTAGTAAAATGTTGCAACCTTTAAATGCATTTCATGTTGACTTCTTGTATATTTTATATTTTTTAGTTATAACATGTAATGACTGCATGTTAACTGTTGATCATTGGAAGGTTTATTTCATTTCATAGTAGTACTTAAGTCTCTTTTTGAGTCGAAGCACAAACTGATTATGCAACTAGAGAGTTTAAAACAGATGTGCAGCACTTTACAAAGTGGCTGATTGTTCATAGTGGATTTTTCATGAGTAAAAACTTTCATTGATTTCAGTTTTCTTCTGTTCGTAGGGTCTGCGAGTCGGTGATGAGATTATAGAGTTTGGGTCTGTAAATACACTAAACTTCAGGAATCTGCGTGACATCGCTTCTGTTGTCCAGCATAGTGAAGGGGTTTGTTGTAACTCGAAGCTCTTTCCTTTAAGTTAAAAACTGTAGCTCATTTACTTACTCTTTTTAATACTTTACATTCCTGTTTATGTACTACATGATTCAGTTTAATTTTGTCTTGGTGAATTATTTCTGTTTACTCTAGAAATCCCTACGTGTTGGATTGCTTCGAAGTGGACAAGAAGTACATCTTAATTTGACTCCGAAGCAATGGTCTGGTAGAGGACTACTGGGGTAAAGAATGTGTATATTGTATTAATTAATTTTAATTAGGAAAATATCAAGGTCATTATAAATTGGTCATTAATGGCATTTTTATTCTGTCAATAGGTGCAACTTAGTACCTCTCCATAGATGACCAGTGAAAGGACGAGGATCATCTTTATGCCAAACAGCACAACAAACTCTTTGGCACTAAATAAATTTGCAGTGGGTTAACTTTAATTTTGCTTTTGCATTCATTGTAAAATTGAGTTAAGTAAATACATTACCAAGGAGAATCACTTAGCCTTTTCTCCTTTTAAATTTCTTGCATCCATTTTTTTTTTTAAATTCTTGTTCTAAAATTGGTGCATTGTGGAACAAATCTGGCAAGAGGATCTGCAAAAGTTCTTAACATCTTAAAGTTAAAACAGCTGAATGGTGAGACCAGAGTCATTCTGGGTTCTGATGCATGAAGCTGTATTCGCTTTGTTACAGTTGCATTAGAACAACACCAGGGTGAGGAAATAATGTCTGAATTTTCATTTTTGGGTGAACTATCCTTTTAATATGTGTGATAAACACATTACAGTGTCCTTATATGAAAATCAGATTCAAAACCGACTTGGAAACCTGTTATCATGCCTTCATTTTTTTTTCAAATGCCTTATAGTTTCATATAAATACGAATTATTGCATGCTAAAAACTATGATAAAGTAAATCATTTAAAAATCTCATTGTGTGAAAATGATTTTTTGTATTTTTTTTTCAAAAATGATGATGGTCTCACATTTGTGGTGTCAGTTTCCCCACACCAAACAATTTTGCCCCTATGAAGCTTAGAGATATCTTGCATGGATTTTTGACTAGTCAAAATGTACTTACTGATATCTTGAACCATCTTTCTTACTAGTCAAATTATAACTGCACATATCTCTAATGATCATGTTGACTTGTCAAAACAATTGTAACTATCTAAAATGTAATTGTCAAACCAAAGCATTAAATGATAAATTGGCTTGCCATATCTTATTTATAGAGGTGTATGACTACATAGGGTTGGGATTTCCTTTAACCTGTAAATGGCATTTAATTAGTAAGACTTCAGATTTTAAATATTAAGTTTTGACTACTCAAATCAAATTCAAGATATCTACAAAGTTAGGCTGTTTTGAATATTTCAGGTATCAAAAATACATTCTGGATATCTTTAATCATGAAAAGATAAAGATATCTGTAATTAGAATTCTGACTGGTTGAATAACAATTAGGGATTCAATGTAAATTACAGTATGACAAGTAAAATGTAATTTACGACTACCGAAGCTTTAAATGATTAAACGTCTTGCCATAGCCTCCCGACTCCCAGCTATGGAGTTTTGACATTATATTATATATTTATTATATTTTGGGATTCAACTTAAACTAATGTATGCTTTTATGTAACTAATTAAAAAAAAAATGATGACCAGTTTTAAAGAAAAAAATTGGATGACTAACTACTCTAAACCTTTTATGCAACTGGCCCCAGGACTTAAAGCGTGTTTATTATGCATTTTGGGAGACAACAAGTGAATAGGGAAGGAAATTGTATATCAATATTCCTATGAAATATGAGATATTATTTAGCAAATCTTGCCAATTATTACTCCCATTATTACACTTCTTTTTTTTCCATTACATGTTGCCCCAAAAACAGATTAATATGCAAATTAGATACAGTTTATAGGCTACATCAAACCCGTTTTTGGCCATTTTACACTCATATTGCACAAAGCAAAATGGCATATCAAATCATTCTGTTATATCTTTTATAACATAGTTGAGAATCATCTTTATATAAAGTTTGGTATAAAAAAAAATTGATTGATTTAAAAAAATCCCACTGTTTTTGCCTTTCCACGTCTATTGTCTTTTTATCTTTTAAAAAACTGATTTTTAAAGTCCTGGTGTCCTCTACAGAGGACACAGCAGAAAATTAACCATGTAGTAACCATGTTTTTTTTTTTTTTGGCGTATTGATTACCATTTGTATAACCACAGTTTTACTACAAATACCATGGTTAAACTATGGTTAGTATGGCAAAACCATGGTTAATTTGTGCTTGTGCATGGTTTAACTATAGTAACCAGGTTTTTTTTTTTTTTTGTGGTAAAACCATGGTTAATGTGTGCTTGTGCATGGTTTTACTATAGTAACCAGGTTTTTTTTTTTTTTTGTGGTAAAACCATGGTTAATTTGTGCTTGTGCATGGTTTAACCATAGTAAACAGGTTTTTTTATTTTTTTTATTTGTGGTAAAACCATGGTTAATTTGTGCTTGTGCATGGTTTAACTATAGTAACCAGGTTTTTATTTTATTTGTGGTAAAACCATGGTTAATGTGTGCTTGTGCATGGTTTAACTATAGTAACCAGGTTTTTTTTTTTTTTTGTGGTAAAACCATGGTTAATGTGTGCTTGTGCATGGTTTAACTATAGTAACCAGGTTTTTTTTTTTTTTTGTGGTAAAACCATGGTTAATGTGTGCTTGTGCATGGTTTAACTATAGTAACCAGGTTTTTTTTTTTTTTTGTGGTAAAACCATGGTTAATGTGTGCTTGTGCATGGTTTAACTATAGTAACCAGGTTTTTTTTTTTTTTTGTGGTAAAACCATGGTTAATGTGTGCTTGTGCATGGTTTAACTATAGTAACCAGGTTTTTTTTTTTTTTTGTGGTAAAACCATGGTTAATGTGTGCTTGTGCATGGTTTAACTATAGTAACCAGGTTTTTTTTTTTTTTTGTGGTAAAACCATGGTTAATGTGTGCTTGTGCATGGTTTAACTATAGTAACCAGGTTTTTTTTTTTTTTTGTGGTAAAACCATGGTTAATGTGTGCTTGTGCATGGTTTAACTATAGTAACCAGGTTTTTTTTTTTTTTTGTGGTAAAACCATGGTTAATGTGTGCTTGTGCATGGTTTAACTATAGTAACCAGGTTTTTTTTTTTTTTTGTGGTAAAACCATGGTTAATGTGTGCTTGTGCATGGTTTAACTATAGTAACCAGGTTTTTTTTTTTTTTTGTGGTAAAACCATGGTTAATTTGTGCTTGTGCATGGTTTAACTATAGTAACCAGTTTTTTTTATTTTTTATTTGTGGTAAAAACCATGGTTAATTTTCGTAAGGGAATAAAATATTTTTCATAAATGTTACATTGGTTGCATTGCTGTCTATACAGGGTAAAAAAAATGTCCATCTACTTTTTTTTTTTTCTTATGCTCTAAACAATGTAGTGACTGAAAAAAAAAATACTAAATTCACTAAACTTTTTTTTTTTCTGGTAGTCAGGAGGATAGACGTATTTTTACTTTGTACGAACGTCACAAAACGTCCGTAGCGAAGGAAACGCGCACGACTCGAAGTTCCCGGATGGAGTTTCATCGCCATATTTAGTCGCCGGCAGGATACGAGGATTTGAAGCTGCTGTTGCTACACCAAGTATCCCAATATAACATATCTATTCCGTTTTCTACACCATTTGCATCCGTCTGTACAAACAGACAGCGTCTCTTACCTTCACCCTGTCCACCTCCTCGCGGTCCCCAGTAATCATGGCAGATCGAGAGCACTTGGTTTACCAGGCTAAGCTAGCAGAACAAGCCGAGAGATACGATGGTGAGTTGATATTTTTGGGCGAAATGTGTTGTCACGCTCGTGAATTACATCCGAGGGACAGCAGTAAACAGAGGGATGTCGTGTAACTGATACAATTGTGTGTTGAACCCAAAACCTAAGCGCTGTCCATTCACACGTGTCACGTCCAGGAGAAATTGGAAGAAAAATCCAGGAGAGCCGTTGTTTTGGAAAGGCCCAAACTAACAGCCCAACCCCTGCATTGTTCGTGAGCTAAAGCCAATGTTGATCTGTGCTCGCGTTGCTAAGAACTGTTGTGTACAATCTACGAGTGGCGCATCTGATATTGTAACGTTACTGTAATCAGTTGATCGGAGAGCATGTGATTCAAAAGATATGCAACGCACTAAATGATGCATTGTTTTCCTTTCGCTACACATTATCTGAATAAAACCAGACTGCGTTCAGATTTTAGCTGATGCAATGATGACTAGGCTGAACCCAGCTGTTTATTCTGACTGCAGTTATTGGATATTTTTACTGTATTCATGTTTTTATGGACCTCGATGTTGACATTTGGGACAATACGAGGTATTGCGCAGTCATTTTCATTGGTGCATTAAATATGTCACAGGGGATAATTTAAGATTTTAAGGAAAAAAATCCATTAAAACCATTATCTGATTATGGAAAAATGCTTAAATGTCAGGAAAAAATATTGGTTAAACCAATTATTGCTTGTTCTGTACTTATGTATAATTTTATGTTATTATGCATGTCACAATATGAAAGAAAATATCTGTCGCTATTTCCGTGTCATTGAGAGTTACACACAATTTTATTTATGCAGAAGTAAAATGGTTTGAGCTAAAAGAGTGTGAACTAGTGAGATTAAACTAGCATCTGCTACAAACATTACTCTTATCTGAACTTACTACTTTGGACATGCATTTTTTTTTTATTATTAAACCACTCGGTACCCAGTCTGTGACATTCAGTGTTGTTATGTACTATATTTATAATTTAGTTTTCCCTTTGCTCCCCAGATCTCTGATGACGGGTTTGCTTTGTGTCATTAAGATGATTGTTCTCTGTGTTTCAGAAATGGTGGAGTCTATGAAGAGCGTTGCAGGAAAGGACACCGAGCTCACAGTAGAGGAGAGAAACCTGTTGTCGGTGGCGTATAAGAACGTGATTGGAGCTCGACGAGCCTCCTGGAGGATCATCAGCAGCATTGAGCAGAAAGAGGAGAGCAAGGGAGGAGAGGGCAAACTCAAAATGATCCGCGAATACAGACAAGCGGTGAGACTGCATGGAGCCTTAAAGGGGTCATATGATGCTGCTAAAAAGAACATTATTTTGTGTATTCGGTGTAATGAAATGTGTTTATGCGGTTTAAAGTAAAAAAAACACATTATTTTCCACATACTGTACATTATTGTTTCTCCTCTATGCCCCGCCTTTTTGAAACGCGTCGATTTTTACAAAGCTCATCGGTCTGAAAAAGCAAGGTGTGCTGTGATTGGCCAGCAACGGTCCTCCATAAAATGTGCTGCATACATCTAAATATTTGGGTCGAAGTGTTCTGGAACAGTGTTGTAAATACAACTTAACCACTGATTTCTAGT